TATTATCATGTAAACAAACCCTAAAGACGTCAAAAGACATAGGTTTACAATTTATGATTAAAACTCTACTATCTACACAATATACATAGACATAAAATGTAAAAACTTAAATATCTTAGAAACAGTAGCCAATCAATTGTTTTAATTGTCATATTTTAATTCAGCACATCAAAATACATAATAGCACATTTTATCTCTGAAGCAGACGACTTCTCAAAAATTGTAGACCAGTGTTATATGTACAGTGTCAAAAGTGCAGTTCCCTAAGTAATTTGCATGTCTGTTCATAATATAAGTAGCCAGATCATACAATAAATCCTGTCTCTCAGAGAATTAACATCACTTAATGGAGACTGACAGTAGATTATGCAAGAATAATCAATAATTTATTAGGACTTCCTTCTGGACACACAAGGCATTAGTCCTAATTTCCAAAAACTTAGTTCAAATTTGACTTAGGTCAAAATCTAGACCTTAACTGACATCTGTCCTAAATACAAAGCCATTGTACATAATCAGGATTTCTATTCTGGTGAGGCCAAGGACTGGAATATCCTTAACTTTGCAATACCCACGTTATGGAATCCTGGAAGATTTAGGTGAGAAAGGTTAAGTCTATAGTAGGGTTACCATACATCCAGATTTTCCCGGACATGTCCGGCTTTTTGGGCCTCAAATCCCCGTCCAGGAAAATAGGGAGGGAGGGGCCGGCGGTGCTCGGCTGGGGGCCAGGGCTGGGCTGGGGGTTCTCGGCTGGTGCCTGGGGGCCGGCGGTGCGGGGCCGGGGGAAGGGGCGGAGTTGGGGCGGGACGGGACCCCGTGGAGTGTCCCCCTTTTTTTAAATTAAAATATGGTAACCCTCTATAGCCAGTGTTCGCTCTCTCTCTCGGCTTGAGCATTAACACTCCCCAAGTGTAAACAACAAATATCTTTAAAATGTCCTCTTTCTAAAAATGAATCAGTACTAAAACTTTTGTCTGCTCAGAAAAACCTGCCATCGAGTCACATTTTTAATATTCAACCTTTTTTCATATGTTTTTCAAGTTTATGAAGTAACTGGTAAAAAAATGAAAGAGGCAATTGGGTAGAGCAAGAAAAGAAAACTGATGTAAAGCAGTGCAGAAAGCAATATTTCAGGTATTTTATATAGATCTAAATATTAAAACAAATGGAATAGATTTCTATCCTTTTGGATATACTAGTTTATTGGTTTCCACTTACACTGTAATTTATCTCCCCAAATGCACACAGCTTCTATTTTTTAAATTTACTTTAACAGATATTGCAACTCCAGGCAGCATCTTTGGAGACACCTATATTAAATGTACGAATGGTTTATGTATGATTGCGTTTTACTCCAGGGGGAAGGGTTAACAGCTCCTCCAGGAACTAAAATATGGTAAGTCACTGAGACTAACCAACTCCAGAGAAGTTCCAACCATGCAGGTAGTTTACATATTCTGGATCAGGCTGGGTTTGTCAGCGACTGGGAAAGAGAGAAAAGGCTTCTGATGAGCTTGAACTGGCTCATGGCCTTCATTTTGATTCAGCAGATGGACATCACTCCCTATCCAAAGGGAGGCCCCAACCCTTGCTAAAGGGTTAGAAGGAATGTTGGCATATCAGACTCCCCATATGGAAGATCGGTGGTTTCTGGTACATTTAATGTGGGTTTAAATCTCTGTTTTCTCTGTAATGCTTTTGCCCTATGAATAAATATGCTTGCTTAGAAGAGCTGTATGGATACTGGGAAAAATACTATCAATTGTCGTCTGAAAGAAAGCAATGCAGGAGCTGGCCTTTAACCAGACTGGCTTGCTGGAGATATCACAGTGGATGGCGGCGGTCTGTGTAGTCATAAAAACCCAGTCAGAAGGGAGTGGAAGAAAGGTTCCTACCAAGACATAGGAGACAGGGCAGACCTGAGTGGCATTCCTGGAGTGGACTACACATGCAGTTAACCTGAAAATGTGACACTTACCATAAAATTTTGCTGAAGGGGAGACCAAGAATACATTATGGGCACTGAAGCAACAGCATTCAGAGTCTTGAGCGGGATGACTTGTTTTGGAAAATCTAAGTCACTGGTAACAGAGCACTGAAACGAGAGGTAGAAATTACACTTCTCTCCTGGTAGCAATTTTGATAACAATATACAAAAGGATGTTTCAATTTATCAAATTTAAACCATATCAGAATTAGGTAAGTCTGTCTTTGGAAAAAATGCATCATTTTTAGGTGGTAGCATTAGGAATAGGTTTACTAAGCAAAAGACACAAATTATTTTGTTTGCAGAATATTTGTTAATAGTTTCCATAGCATGGTGTTCTTTGCTTACTATCCCATACAATGATATCCATGCTCTCATGTACCATTACACTCAGCCTACTTACCAGAAAAACATCATTGCATTTGGTTATCTAAAACAGATTTAGTACTTGATGATAAACTGTCTTATCTGGTGTTTACAGTGTATTAACTAGATGTCTGGGAGACAAAGAAGAATTCCTCCAGGCTTCACATTAATGCACCACTGAGATCAAGCAAGCATTTCTTTTTAGAAACATTAATATGTTGATCCTTTAATACCAGAAAGTCTACTTCAACAAGTTATCACTTCAACTTGTCTGTAAGTCTTGACCTCCACTGTATTCCTATCCTATCCCAAAATCTTTGACCATGTATACTGTGTGCAGGACAACAGTAAAGTGAAATTTACTCTAATACTGAACTCTGAACTGTCAAACAGTGCTTTCAATATGACACTCTTTACGATTCACTTTTTTACAGACCTAGACCAGGAAGGAAGAGAAATCACAAAAAGAGTGAGAGGACAGAAAATTCAAAATGTGAAATGAGAAATGGTTTTAAAAATGAAACAATTGGTTAGTCCTAGAACAGGGGTCCCCAACGTGGTGCCCGCGGGTGCCATGGCGCCCGCTGGGGCATCCATGTGCGTCCGCCTACTGGCCGCCGGAAAAGCAGCGGCCGAAATGTCGTCGAGAAGCAGCAATGTCAAGAAGCACTACCGCCAAAATGCCGCTGAATTTTGGCGGTGATGCCTCTTGATGACGCCGCTTCTTCACAGTGGCATTTCGGCGGCTGTTTGTCCGGCGGCCACGGTCCTTGGCGGAAAAGGTTGGGGACCACTGTCCTAGAATAATACATAAACATTCTAACCCAGGGCCTGAAAAATCCACTAGCTCTTATAACTGGGGGCACCTACACAACCAGTTTCTGAAGGTTCTATTTTTAAAGTTTCTAGCCCTTATACTTGCAACGGTAACCCTCCCAATTATAGGCAGAGGTGGTAACAGTGCCTATACTTAAGGCTGCTCAACACTTCGCCTTTGGGAACCCTGTTTAGAGTTGCTTATAACTTTACCAAACTTTAACCATTCAGGCTGAATTTTTTCATGCCTAGTATCTGCCTGGCTGACTAGTTGTTATGGTTTTCTTTCTTTTCTTTTTTTTTTTTTTTTTTTTAGTTTCCGCTCAAACAATTCAGCCATTTCTCAGAACACAAGTAGGGAAAAACACATTGTTGTGCCCATGTTAAATACTTAAAAAAAAAAAAAGTAAGTTTCATTGAGAAGTTCTAACACCTCCTTGGTTTGGAGCCACAAGCTGATGTGAAGCAAGGATGGGAGGGAAGAGATTCCTTTGTGTCACTGTATGACATGCACAATACATAAAATGTCCCACATTGTATAAAATCACACATAAAATAAACTATGTTTAAAAATAATATTAAGGTTACAAAGTCAAGCAGTTAAGAGTTAGGAAATGCAAGAATTAAGATTGTCCATACAATCTTAATTCAGTGCTCTTGTACATATGTATTGTACCATTTTTACTTAAAACTATCATATTTTTTTCCAGGAGACACCTGCCTTATTCAATGCATAGGACAGACGATTCTCCTTCAATGGATAACTATTCAATATTTTGGTTTTATCTTCATTGTTTAATGTGTGGCTACATGCCTTATTTACTGCACACTATTCAAACACTGCTCTGAAAACAGCATTATTAATTTCCTCAGACTTTTCTACAGCACTCATCACTATAGTATCTATCTATATTAAAAAAACAAAAACACCAACTGGCTTCAGTTGCAGCTGCAACTGCTCAGCAATTCTGTAAATCAAACCCCAGGATCTCAAGCTGGGTATCCAGAAAATGTGGCACCACACAGGAACTTTGCAGCACAGGCAGGGACAGAATTCAGAGCGGCATTCAACCACTTGAACCATGAAACCATCCTCTCTCTTCCTGCACATCCCTGTCTCTGTCAGTATACACCTTGCAACTTCTGCAACAAGTGAGATAGATCCTACAGACAAAAGCCTTCTCCTTCATTACACAACCTCAATTCATCCTCAGAGCAAGTCTGTCCCATACAGTGAATGAGGCAGGGGTTCTGTGGGGAAAAAATAGTATGGGATCATGTAAGTAAAGACTATATCATAATGCATACACAAAAAGGAACCAAATGAAGCTTGTATGGAAAATTTTAATTCTGGCATTTCCCCAACTCTTAAGTATTTGACTTCACAACTTTATTCATATTAAACACATTAAGAGAATGTTACAGTGTGCAAACTACTCCACCTGGGTACGCAGACAGACAGCTGCAGTACCTTTGTTCCTGTACTGCTTTGACAGTCAGGAGCAATGTGAAATTAACAAGACACTGATCAGTTTCACCATATACTTTTCAGAAGCCTTTATGCTGCTGCGGGGGTACAGTAGTGGACCTCTATTCCCATCAGAGTACCGAGGAAGATTAGAGGAAGGGAAGACAGAAAGCTTTCTTCCAAAAGCCAGCAAAGTAGGCTTCAAATTTCCAAAGACACCTTATCTTGGAAGACTATCTGTTGTATCAGTCCCTGGCTAGTTGGTGTCTTTAGAAATTTGATTTAGATTTAATTCTTTGACTAGTAGCTCTCTAGCAACTTTTTCATGCCATCATCATTTAAGTCTAGAAAGTACGCAAAATTATAAAAATGGATTTTGTCCTTTAAAAAAAAAGAATATAACTAAAAATCTCAAGGCAACATTATGTTTATGCAAAGTTGAGAACAAAGTCAATATTTTAAATCCCATTTATGATCCTGTGTGATACTCTGCCTGCTTTTGAACTCTATTCAATAATCATTAAATAAAGAAATTACATTTGTGGGAGTGGCTCTGGTCAATGCCACTCAATAGTCTAGCGAGTCACTGGAGGCAACTGAAAACCAAGGTGTGTTCCACAGAAACAAAGGAGTCACCTATAATACTTGCAACCCACACTGAGTGTGTCACCCTCATGAAAACTGCACACAAGATATCAAGTCTCCAGCTAATGTATTTGAGACAAAAATAAATATTTAAATTTATTTTAAAAGGATTCAGATACATTTTTATAAACTGTCTTAATTCTCCTATTATAAATTATGGCAATTTTTAAATCAAGTATTGAGAGTAGAGCTCTTCTGAGAGTGCTTTCTGAGACAAACTGGATTAGAATGCAATAATCAATTCATTGACTCAGACAGGAAATTAACATAAAATTCCCCTTCGATCAAGAAGGCAATTCAAGCTAGCAAGTCAAAATCTGATATATCCAAGTCATAACTCTGAAGGTGAAATTTGGCTCTTTTCCTCCAAAGAACTGAAAAAATTGATGCATGACCCTTACAACAATTTTTGTTTTCAGCACTTGTTAAAACTACTGTCAAATACTATCAAAAGCTCTCATCCTGTATGTATGTGGGTGTAGCCCATGCAAGTATGGAGCCCCACTGACTTCAGTGTGACTTTCCCTGTGCGCATTGTTTTGTAGGACTGGAGCCAGTCATCTGTTTTCCATTTTTGCTTGCAGGACTACTTTCATAAGAGAGGAATAGAAGGAACACTAAGACACACGGGCTGGAAATAGTTTCAAAAAGAAGACAAATGGAAGATACATACATTTATGGCTAAAAGTACTAATTGTATAAAAGTTCCCTTTTAAAAAATTCAGATTTTCTGTTATTTTTTGCCCCTTCATAAAAAGTAATCCCCCTCACAAAACACAGAAGATTTGTCAATTAAATTCACTTTCTGTTTACGGCAAGCCCTTCTCAATTTGATGAGTAGGAAGACACTTTCCTTGTCATCAGATCATTTCACATCAAAAAGTCAATCTACCTATGGAAGCTAAACTAGTTTAAGTTTGCTGACATTAGGGTTTTGCACCAGTTTAAGAAGAGATTTAAAAAATTTATTAAAGCTAATGTTAAAATTATATAATTCACAAGTTGAGAAAAGAGTGTCTGTATATTTGGGTATAGTGCTTAAATTATCCACAAATACAAAGTTTGTTTTTAAAGTGATAAGATACATATAGTACATAATCAGCAGTATCCCAAATTTGGTGAGTAAATTTAAGAATACAGTTTAGATCAGAGGTGGGCGAACTACGGCCTGCGGGCCACATCCAGCCCATGGGACCGACCTGCCCAGCCCCCGAGCACCTGGCCCGGGAGGTCGCCCCCAGCCCCTCCCCTGCTGTCCCCCCCTCCCCCGCAGCCTCAGCTCGCTCGCAATGCACTGGGCGGCGGGGCTGTGAGCTCCCGGGGCAGCGAAGCTACAGAGCCCGACCTGACTCGGTGCTCTGAGCTGCGTGGTATGGCAGCGGCATGGCCGGCTCCAGCCGGGCGACGCGGCTATAGCGCCGCCAGCCACTGGTGCTCCAGTGCGGTAAGGGGGCACGGAGCGGGGGGGTTGGATAGAGGGCAGGGGAATTCAGGGTGGTGGTAAGGGGGCGGGGGTGTGGATAGGGGTCGGGGAGGGAACAGGGGGTTAAATGGGGGCAGGGGTCCGGGGAGGGAGGTGCAGTCAGGGAGGAGGGGGGGTTGGATGGGGCGGCAGGGGGCAGTCAGGGGCAGGGGTTCCGGAGGCAGTCAGGGAACAGGGAAAAGGGGTGGTTGGATGGAGCAGGGGTCCCAGGGGGATCAGAAATGAGAGAAGGGGTTGGATGGAGCGGCGGGGGTCAGGGGCAGTCAGGGACAGTGAGCGGGGGCGTGTGGATGGGGCAGGGGTCCCGGGGGGGGGCCCCCCATCAGGGAACGGGGTGTGTGTGGATGGGGCAGGAGTTCGGGGGGCGGGAGGGGAAGAAGGAGGTGGGGGCCGGGCCACGACCCCCTCCCCTAACCGGCCCTCCATACAATTTACGAAACCCGATGCAGCCCTCAGGCCAAAAAGTTTGCCCGCCCCTGGTTTAGATATTAGCATCCAAGTATTTGAGTACATCACTCACGAAAAGTTACATAGAGTTGGTTGTGAAAAGCACATACATCAATGAGTGAAGATTGTCCCTCAGTAATTGAGAATTTAGGGTAGATTGTCCATTTAGAAAATACAATCCATGAGGGAAGTATTTCAGTTACTTTCCCCAGTTTAAACTACATCCATTTTCAACCTACTTAGTTAAGCCAGTGCAACTTTTCTAGTATAAGCGAGGCCTATGCAAACTAATCTGTTCACTATTTTCATGCACTTTCTTTTATGAAGCGAGGGCCTGATCCAGCTGCCATTAAAGGCAACAGAAGTTTTTCCATTGACATTAGTGGCAGGTAGATCAGATCCCAAGTTCCCATGAGACAAGGCCTGATTAAAGGATGGTAATGTGTGACCTAAACATTTTCTGCTGCAAAAAGACTTAATTTTGTGCACGTTAGGATCTTAACTAAGTAGCATTTTATTGATTTCTTCCCAGTAAGCATCTGATAGGAGTAATAATCAGTAATTCCTAGAAAGGTGCTAGGACTTCGTATAAAAAGAGAACATTAGTGGCTAACACATGATCTACCAGCCAATTTTTCACCAGTAAAACCAAAATGTGCTGACAACTTTGTAACTAGAATTACCACAACACGTTAACCAACCTCCCTGGTCCCACGCAATGAGCTCACAGAAGTCATGATGTGTACAGGCTGTATCCTACGTTGTTTCCATTCTTGATTTAAGATTTCTGTTCTTTCCAGTATCTTCTGACGATTAGAATTAAACATACTCTAAGAATGAAAGAGAATTGTGAATGTTGCAAGCAAATTAAGAATGGAGTCAGAATTCATTTAATAACCTCTTCAAGTACTATCAGGTCTATTTTATTTAGGGTGACCAGACGTCCCGATTTTATCGGGACTGTCCCCGATATTTGCTTGTTTGTCCCGCATCCCGACCCATGTGCGGTCGGGACAGGACAAACAAGCAATTTTGCCCTCCCGGAGGAACTCTCGCTCCCCCCGCCCCAACTCCGCCCCCCTCCTTCCCCTATTGGATCCCCTCCCAAATCCCCGCCCTGGCCCCGCCTCTTCCCCAAGCACGTGGCATTCCTCCTCCCTCCCAGGCTTGCAGCTGTAATGGCGGCGCAAGCCTGGAGGGAGGGGGTGGTGGTGGTGGTGGTGGCATGGCTTCCAGTTCCTGGCACTGGTGAGTCATCAGTATGAGCTCCAGCACCGGGCGGGCAAGGGGGGCTGGCAAGGGGGCTGCTCCCCCAGGAGGGAGGGGGGGGGCGCCGGACCCCGGCAGCGGCGGGGGAGAGCGGCTCAGGGCCATGTGAGCAGGCCATATAAAGTTTATCGGCTCAAGGAGGACCCTGGCCGGCTCCTCGCCCCTGTAGGGGGATAGTGTCTCCGCCCCACGCCCAGCTTCAGCATGTGTCGCCAGCTGCCACAGGCCAGGTAAGGAGCCGAGTCCCCCACTCCCCCTTTGTCCTGGCTCCTCAGCTAAGCCCCACCGCCCTCCCTCCTGGGGGAGCAGCCCCCTTGCCAGCCGCCTTGCCTGCCTGGTGCCAGAGCTCGTACTCACCAGCAGCTCCAGGAACTGGAAGCCACGTCACCACCCCCTCCCTCCAGGCTTGCGCCCCATTACAGTTGCAAGTCGGGGAGGGAGGGGGAATGCTGCTCAGCTGAGGGGCCAGGACGAAGCGGGAACTCTGCTTCTTACCTGGCCTGCGGTGGCCGGTGGTACATGCTGGCGTGGGGCGGGGATGCTACCCCCCTACAGGGGCGAGGAGCCGGCCAGTGTCCAGCCCCAGCCGATAAACTTTACATGAGCCACTCTCCCCCGCCGCTGCCTGGTCCGGAGCCCCGCGCCTCTCCTGCTTGGCTGCGCTCCAGCGGCTCCTTCCCGGCGGGGCGCGCCGCATGTGCCCGGGGCCGCGGGGGAGGGCAGCGCGCGCGGCCGCGGCCTGCTAATTTCCCCGGCCCCTGAGAAACGGCTCTCCCCCCCCCCCCCTTACCATATTTCATTTCTGTGATCTGGTCACCCTAATTTTATTAACAAAGCATACATCTTTGAAAACACTAACTGCACTTAAGCAGCACCATGATAATACATAAAATGAACACAAATTTTACTAGAAAAATAATTTTCAGCATTTCTACCTGTTTTGAAAAGTATTTTTCCTCTTAAAAAATTAAATATAGAATTATGGAACAGTTATTTTTCTTTAAAGTAGCCATGTTCACCGGCAAAAAGAGGGGTCCTGTATTTCCATGCTTAAACAATACAAATCACAGATAAACATATTTCATAGTTTCCAGGTGGATTGATTTATATATAAAGTCACAAAAATCCTTGACATTAATGCATATGATATAAAAGGCAAACAGACTTAAGGATCCTAGTGTCACTTTTATTGTAAAGATTACAATTTTTACACATAGCCTATATTACCACCACTATGCTTCATGATCTAATGCTTCCGTTCTCAATAACTCAATTTTAAGTTACTCAGGCTTGATCTCAGCCATGATATAACTTTATATTTTTAAAGGTGAGAAAGTATAGTCAGTCATTTCTGAATTATGGGAAAGTGGAAATAAAAAGGCCAACCCATCTCTACTAGTTCCTTTAATGTAGGGGGGAAACAAACAAAAATGGGGTTAAGGGGCATGGTGGAAGAGCTGACTCAATATTGTCTGTGGAGAGGTACTGAGACTGACTGTATTATCCCTCCTTCCTCCTCCTACATGCACGCCATTTCTGAATGTTTGGAGACCTAGGGTTTCATGATGGTGCTGCAGGACAGGGAGGATATGGCCACTCTCCACAGAATCAACTCCCCTAAAAACTGCAAGGATTTTTCAAGCATAAATGAATACTGATCTTTAGCATATCCTGACCGAATTAAATGTGTAACCAAATGTATTGTGTAAATGCCTGCCTACAAATTCATAATTCTAATTAGACATTAACTATTAAGTGCCAAAAATTGTAATAGAGATGTGCAACACCTTTTATTAAAAAAAATGAGTATTTACATCTTCTCCTTCAGAAAAATCGTATTTTCCAACAAATATATACATAAAATATATTTTATTAAGTGCAAGATTTCAATTCTAATTTATATTTCAGAAGAAAATCCATTCCAATGCCTACCATATACGATTTTCTTGAAGGAGGTACGGGTGACATACCTTAACTTCATCTGCCCGGCGGAACCTCTTGAGCTGCCTCAGTCGCATGTATTCTGATTTTACACGCTTCCGCCAACAAATTGGTCCCTTTTCAGATTTCTTTCCCGTCTGACCCATGATTATCCTGTAATCAACAATATCATGTTAAGATTCACTGACCTAGCCACTATAGATAGGATAGTGTCTTATAGATCATTTTACAGTGACTGAGCAGATAGATGGACAATGGGTTAAAGAAAAATTAGACATTTACAGAAAAAAGTTAACCTTCCAGGACTTGATCCTGTAAGGTGCTGATCAGCCTGGCCCTAATCCAGCAAAGCAGTTAAGCATGTTCTTAATTTTAAGCATGGGAGCAATTGCACTGGAAGTCAATGGGATTACTCATGTGCTTATAGTTAAGCACATGCTTAACTGCCACCCTGCTCAGCACCTTGCAGGATCAAGCCCTTACTCAGGAAGCCAATGGAAAAGTTCAGATGCTGAGAAACGCTTCACACTATGAAGTAACTAAAGTATTGGGAAGTTAAACTGTCTAGTTATAGTTTGTATTTGAGTCTCAAACTGGAAGCCACATTACCGTGAATGTCACCAGGGATATGGAAAACCAGAATAAGATATTTAAACAAGTATCAGAGGGGTAGCTGTGTTAGTCTGAATCTGTAAAAAGCAAC